ACTTTGCACGACTCAGTCTGGCGGGAGACCATGTGTCACAGCCAACGAGCTGTGCCACCAAAACAAACAAAGGGCAAAGCTTACTGATGCAGAGGTTGGTGCTGAGAAGCGAAGCAACCAGAGGTGACACAGCAAGAGATGTGAAGAGATGTATTCCCTAGACTAGAAGGGGTAGTGAGGGAGGTAGGGCTGCTAGCTACCTACAGAGGAGATGGGGAATCGACGAGAAGATCAAGTCTGAGGTTCCCTGCCTCAGACTCCCTACTATATATACTAATACAATGGTGCACAGACCAGGTACCTATTGACCATCGTTTGGTCAGAGTTCTCTGCCTCATGTCCTACCCTCTGACCTGCCTCATGGTGACCTTACGACTAATACCTGAGTCGTGCCGAGTCCGGACCCCTCCCAATGAGTAAGCGCTCCTGCTGTCACATCAGTCACCTGCCTGTGAGTGAGGATGGGCGTTCCTGGCCGTCACGAGGTCGGGGGTTCGATCCTGGCCCCTCCACTTTCCGATACGAGTTGTCCGCGGTCAAGGTGAGCGTCTGTCCCAGTACACATGACCCTCAGGTCACGTGGCACGAGAAAACTGTGACACCATGCCTGCTCTCGCGATTATTGTAGACTTGTGTCAGGGAGCTGTAAGTATATGTTCCGCACAACAAATATATCTCAAGACTGAGGTAGGCCACGACGTGCGCGAGAAGGGGACCAAATATTCTCCAAATATCTCGCTGAGATATTTGTATGGTATTTTTGGATTACACGTGGCGCTTCTCAACTGGAGAAATCTGCTCAAATATTTCATGAGGCTCTGAAATATTTGGACAGATGACACGATCATGTTCCTCCGTACATAGCGCTATGTAGCGCTGAGGCTAAATATTTGACAAATATTTGGTGGAGGGGAGTACCCTCCTCCCCTCGCTCCTACATATGTCCCAAATATTTGAGATTCGTCTCGAATATCCGGGGGGGACATCCCTCCAACCGTCTCAAATATTTGGAGGGGCCACTATAACATTTGGGCCAAATAATTCGCGTTTTACTATAACTATAAGGATTGAAAAATTTATCTAACTGATATCCCTGGTTTCGGGTTCGGCTTGCTGATCTGGCTAGGGGGGTACCGATCGACGAATTGCCTGACGAGGCGGACCGCCTCGCGGTGGCAGCCCGTACTGCGCGCGCACACCAACGTCAGCATACGGGGAGACACCAGGAGAAGGGGAAGGAGAAGGGATGCACTCACAGGGAGAGCACGCAGATCATCGCCACGTACGCCCTCTCCACTAGTCTCGCGTCTACCCGCGCCTCGTTCGTCCCTTCCCTGCGCCACCACGTCTCCTCAACCGGGGCCCACCCCTGCGTGCTCCCCGCCGCAGTGCCCGTGCGAGTTAGCGCCGACTGCCACATTGCGGCACGCGATACGCACAAAGGTGTCAGCCGCCCCGTCGATGGTAAGCCCACCTGGTGGCGCTCGACGTGCGCGCTGCGTCTCACTCGGGCTCGTTCGCGCTCTTGCTGCGAAACACGGTAGCGGCAGGAAACAGTAGACGAGTCAACGCCTTTCCGGTACAGCCGCCTGTCGGGGACGGGTGGCTCGGATTGTGCGCCGGGAGTGGGCGGGGCGCATTGCAAGACTGAGCCTCTGACTGGTAAGTCTCGAATTTTTCTGCTCAGCCTTCTTTGAAGACCGACGTTGAGGTTGGTGCAGCGTGCGCTAATACCTGGGAAGACGTCGCTGACCATTCACCGTTTATTGAGGTGCGTGCCACTGGCCATCATAGTGCACTGATGAACGCACAGATATGTGGGCAATCGAGAAAAAGTCACGAGTAGGTTCGGTATCTGACTGGGTAGTAGGTACATCCTGCTACGTGAACGTAGCTGTGGCGAACATTCTTGTATAACCTGTCAGGTATGATAGAAGTGGCGTGAGGGGTTACTGCATCATCAGTGCTCCCGTTGGCTGCTATTGAAAGGCCTGAAGTGGAACGCTTGACACGTCAATTTGTGCCCCACTAGCGCCTGTTATCTCAAGGATGGACTCCGGAGCAAGGTGCGAGTTGGGCGCTTGTGTTACACTCAGGCGAGGTGCGTGCGAGTGACGTCAGCAGTGCAAGGTAGGGTGCGTCATTGGGGAGAGGCGGAGCTCTCCAGCGACTGCACTTAAGCCCCTCCCAGCGATGGCTGGCCTGCACCTTTCTTCTGCTCTTTCACGACGTAACGACTGCCATGAGATTATCTTTCCTCCTCCTCGCTCTCACCGCAGGCACTGCCGTCCATGCCTCCTGGTTCAGCGGCAACAGCGGCAACAATCAGCCAGCAGGTGCGTCATCGTGTCCGCTTTCGCGAGTGTATTCCGGTACTCATCCCACGCTCTGCAGAATACACCACTTGGTCCGCTAAAGAGCTGCAAAATTGGCTCGATGCCCACAACATCCCATACCCTTCTCAGACCCCATCGCAGGCTGAGCTCCAGTCGGCCGTACAGGCTCACTGGGATACCGCCTCCTCATGGTCCGCCGACCAGTACAAAAAGGCCCAGGTTGCGTTTTCCAACCTCAAGGGCGACGCCTTTGACACGTGGGACGAGTCGCGTCTCCGCGAGTTCCTCCTCGAGCAGGGCGTCGTCAACCCCTCGGGCCCGCGCGAGCAGCTCGCCCTCCTCGCCAAGCAGAAGTGGCGCCAGTACTCGTCCGCAGCAAGCGCATACAGCAAGACGGCGTCCAACAGCGCGAGCTCCCTCTCGAGCTCTGCTTCGAAGCAGGCGAGCACGGCCATCTATGGCGACTCGTGGTACCAGGCGTCCAAGTCCGCTACTTCGTTTGCCGCGCAGGCGACTGACAATGTAGCCCGCACTTTCGACGACTCCAAGGACTACGTCTATTCGACGTGAGTGTTGCGTGTTATGTATGAATCGTCGCAAGTGTTGATGACTTGCTGCAGCTGGGATGATAACCGGATCCGCTCGTGGCTTGAGGAGCATGGTGTTGTCGAGCCTCCTGCTACTCCCCGCAGCAAGCTTCTTGCGAAGATGAAGGACGTCTATGCAGCTGTCACAAACCCTGTTTGGGAAGCCTGGTCGGATTCCTATATGCATCAGTGGCTCGTTGATCACAACATCCTCAAGGACGGGGCTACAAAGCGCCGCGAGGAGCTCGTTCAGTTGATGCAGGATTACTACTACGGTGCAAACGACAAGGTCTGGGACACCTGGAACGACTCGCAGATGAAGGAGTGGCTCGTCCAGCACAACGTCGTCAAGTCGGACGCCCAGCTGAAGCGTGAGAAGATGCAGAAGCTGATTGCGTACGTCTCTCCATTTCATTTGCGTCCCCATCCTCACCTGACAGACAGTGCGCCTTTCACCAGGGATAACTACGCACACGCCTACGACACAGCGTGGACCGCCTGTAGGTATTCAGTACTATGGATGCATCCGTATCGGTGCTCTACCGCCGGATGGATGCATCCATACCACGGTACACGGATGCATCCCAACGGCACACAGATGCATCCAATAGTAGAAGGATGCATCTCCTGTGGGGAACGGATGCATGACGGATGCATCTAGGAATGCATCCGATTGGGCGCACCCCAGCTAGCGCCTTCGCCGCCTTGTCCGTGCTCACGTTGCGCGACGCAAACCTTCGTTGTGGCGCGTGGTATGTTGATCCAGCGATCGTGAGCATTTGACCTTGAGCGAGCACATCTAATGGGCGTTGACATTCGCGCTGACCCGTTTCAAGGCCACACCGGAACCAGCGTACTACAAGTCAACGGACGGCTATTTGGCAATTGGAACTTCAACCTGAGACAGCCGAACCTCCACCTCCT